ATAAAAATGATGTCTTTTAATCTTTTAAATTCTATAAACTTTTATTTTACCGCATTATTATAATTAAATATATGTTAGGTTTTATATTATGTGGTTACGAATTTACAATTTAAAAATGACCCACAATTGTGAAACATGTATAACTAAATTAAGACTACATTAAGCTCTTATATTGTGGTTTTATAATGAAAACATAATATAGTTTTATAATTTAAAATATCCAAAGTGGAAGGTTTTAAAAATTTAAAGAAATAGTCCATTGAGGACAATTAATAGAAAATTTGACATTAACCATTAAGTTTTTTTTTTGTTTGATCTAATTATTAGTTGTATAGAGATGTGTAGAATTAGCACAACATTCTAAACAATTATCAACTTATTCAACATTCCCAATAATATTATTATCTATTATACACAATTCCAATAAGACTTTTAATTTGTAGACAATATTTATTGATTTTATCAAACATTAATGAGTAACATTTAATATAAAATGGGTGGGAAAACAAATTTTTTTCCAGCTGCTTCAGTTTAATATATATATAGATATCACTTCTCCCTACGTATAAGACATCAAAACAAACTCGAGAGAGAAAGAAAAAAGAGTAAGAATCACGCAAAATATCAGATTGAGAGAGAGAGAAGTTGCAGGCCTGCAGCTATGCATTGGATTAGAGGAGAAACCCTCGGGAAGGGCGGTTTTGGGTTCGTCTCCAAGGCCACAACACACCACCATCCTTCTGCCGGCGCCCATCATCATCATCATCTGCCGTCTTTGATCGCCGTGAAGTCCTCCACACTTTCAGAGTCGGCATCACTGGTGAAGGAGAAACAACTGCTCGACAAGTTCCAGGGATGCCCTTCCATCCTCCCCTGCTTCGGAGACGACATCACCTCTGAAAACGGCCAAAAACTCTACAACATACTTCTCGAGTACGCCTCCGGTGGCTGCTTGGCCGACCGCATCATCCCCGCCAAAGGCCTCCCAGAGAAAGTTGTCGGCCGCTGTGCAAACTCCATATTGGCGGCCCTTGTTCACATCCACAGGCTCGGTTATGTTCATTGCGACGTCAAGCCACACAACGTGCTGCTCGTCGGCGGCGGCAACAACAACTACGAGAACGCCAAGCTCGCTGATTTCGGAAGCTGCAAGAGACGCAATGAGCAGCAAACCGATTTTGTGGGCACCGTCATTTACGCGGCCCCAGAGTCAATAGCCCGACAAGAGTACTTGCCCGAATCGGATGTGTGGGCCCTCGGCTGCTCGGTTCTTCACATGCTCACGGGGAAGCCGCCTTGGGTTTTCGACAAAAGGGCAGAGGCAAAGGATGTGCTGTTCAAGATTGGGTGTAGTGATCAGATTCCGGTCATCCCTCCCAGCAACAAGATTTCAAAGGAGGCTAAAGACTTTCTCAACAAGTGTTTGGTGAAGGATCCATCGGCTAGATGGAAAGCCGAGATGCTTCTCAATCACCCGTTTCTGGTCAAGAGTAGTAATAGTAGTAGTAGTAGTATTCCGGTCGATGCACCCAGAAACTGTCGCGTGCCATTGAAATTATCTCGTGGGATTCACTCATTGGTGCCGCATTGTTTCCATGTCCCAAAAGTGCATGCCGCATTTTGATCACTATATATATCTCTGTGTATTAATTCTTTGTAATATTCTTCATATACATTGACAAAAGCAGAACTCAATATGTTCTTTCCAATTGCAAATTCAATTGATATATATCAATCCAGTAGAAAATGTACGTCTTCTTTTTGGTGGCTGTAAATTCATGTGCATTAGGCCTTTAAGAAATATGGGAGAATGCTACCATCCCGTTACGGGATGGTTCCGTTGTGTTTTTAAGCGTTGGATTAACTACCCATAACTAGATTACATGTATATCTATGGGTAGAAAACACAACGGAACCATCCCATAACGGGATGGTAGCATTCTCCAAGAATATGGTTCTCCTTCTTAGCTGTTATAGAATGTTCACAAAACATGGGATGGGAGGTCATTGTGGTGGTCAGTTGAAAGAGATCATACTGTCAGCTGGCCATGAAGAATATTACAAAAGCAACATAACAAAACATTTTTTTTTTTTGTTACTTTTATGTATATTTATATGTCAAAATTAAATACTATATACATAATTTAAAAAATTTTAAAATTAACTATCCGGTTCAGCAATTGACGCGGTGACCCGGCGGTTGAACCGGTGACCCAGAGACCTGCCCGGATCGATTTTTGGGTCGGGTTTAAAAACTCTAATAATTAGTAGGTCTCAATTTAATTCATTTTTTGTTATAACATTTCAATGAAATGCACTGTTCATTTTTTTTTCAGCAATGATAAGGAGTGTCGATTTTTTTGGCATAAAAAACCTTATTCAACTACCTAAAAATTTTGATTTGGATATTTTATACAAATATAAATTTATAATAATTAAAGAAACAATATAAGTTTTATCTTTATACTTATTATTCAAATAAATTTTTAAATATATGATAAAATTTTAGCAAAATAATTATTTTGTGGAATCATGTTATAGTCAAATCGAATTTAATTTTGAATAAAATTTTGAGATTACACATATTTTGAAACGAATATAATGTAATATTATTAGATATGTACAATGCGCGGGGTGTGTACTAATTTTAAATAGACGATATTTTATGTAATTTTTCGTAATTCAAATTATATATAATATTTTCAATAAATTAATATAGGTATGTCGTATTACATATTGATTCCATGTTTTTAATTTATACTATTATTTAATAAGAATGTTTTAATTTATAAACATTAATGAATAGATGCACGGGATTCGTACTAGTTTGTTAGACAGTCCTGGGAAAGATTTAGGTTGGTGTTGTATACAAAATAACATACTTTTAATTTACTGGATAAATTTTCTTAAGAAATATTACAATTTACTTTTCCCAACTTAATCTTAATGATACAATTTTTAAAATAAAAATCAAACATTACTATATTATTATTCAATCGCTTTACATACTTTAAATACATGTATTATTTTATTTTTTTTCCATTATATCAACTTTAATTATTACATTTACATCTATTCATTTATTTATGCAAAAGAAAATCTCAAACAAAAAATACACAATTTACAAGCCCCCACTACGTTTTAAATTGTTTCATTGCGATTTATCAAAATGCATAAATAATTTGAATCTACCAAAATGCATAAATTATAGTTATGTAAAAAGAAGTGTAAATATAATCATTTTATCTTCTTTTTTTTTTTTTCTTTTTTTTTTCTTCTTCAGTATACAAAACCCAACGGTACACCACAATCTTCACCATTGCAGAGAAGCAGGAATTGGTGCCTCAACTGATGTAAATTCAATTGTCATGTTTGAGATAAAGAATGCTCATATCATATTCTGCGGCCATTCGAATCAATCAAGCCACAATACATCTCTGTTTATTCGACAGATATAAACACCTTCAGCTAGTTATTGTGTAGCACAGAAATAGTTAAATAAGGATCATCCCTGTGCTTCAAATACAGTGGCATTTCAAGAGCATTCTCTGCAATTTTCCTGTCTTCGTGGATCTTTGCTATTAGGCTCTCAAGTGATGTAAAGTTGGCCTGTAAAATGACAATCCCATATATAGTGAGTCGCCGAATAGAAGCAAGAGAGATTATGAATTACTTGTGAAGCTATGCATTTCTCGTCACACCTTTAGGGCTACGTTTGGTAACCAAATAAACTAGTTTATAGCTTATTTGATTAGCTTATACTCTTCTTGTATTCAAATAAGTTTCGTTTGGTACGACAAACTTTTTAAGCTTATCTCATAAACTTCTTTTGGGTAGTTTTTCAAATAAGCTCGTTGAAATTTTTATTTCAGCTAGCTTATCAGCTAATTTTACCAAACACTTTCATAAGCTATAAGCTTGAAAATCACTTATAAGTTATAAGCTATCTTACAGCTTATCAACTGATTTTACCAAATGTGGTCTTAGGTGGGGTAGTTGTAGTTTTTGAGAATACGTAGCTTTATTGTAATTAGGCTAAACCTTAGCGGAGGTTTTTGCAATTTAACAAAAAAGCAATTTTGCTTAATGCAAATGCAAAACAAGACGAAATCATAATTGTGTTGACATACCTCCGGCCTCATATAGCCAACAATAATGAGACGCAATTCCTTACCATAGAAGTCCTCGTTAAACTCATGAAGCAGCCATGCCTCCTGAATATCATCGCGGTCGAATAAGAAAACAGTATTTTACTAAAAAATGAGAGAAATAAAGAATAAGATCGAAAATAGAGCTAAATGAGACTAACAATTGTCTTCTCCGAGTTGTTGAAGTAAGGGTTCCAACCTATGCTCATCACCATCTTATAAATTCCATGATTTGCTAATCCGGCCCATCCAAAATACACTCCTGAAGGGTGTTCCGAAAGGAGATCCTCGAACCCTTCAGTCGACAAATTAGCTGGAAAAGAGATGATTCATAAATGAAAACAATCAATAGAGGCAACCACTTTTTTTATTAAAGTAAATTGTTCCAAGCCGTTAAAACTAAGAAAATTTTGCATTATACTCCCAAAACCTATACATTCTTTGTTTCACTTTGCAGAAAACTTGAGAAGACACTAATTCTAGGGGTCAAATGGCAAACCAACAAATACAGTTGGTGAGCTAAAGTAAGAAAACCTCATAGCTCAAGGGGTTTAATTTACTCCAGAAAATATTGGGTTATGACACAGAAATATATATATATATAAAAGAAAAAAACCTGTTGGGATTCCAAGCAACTTCGAGCCACGGCCGAAACCTTTGACGACTGGACCACCAATATGCCAAGGATCTATTGGTAATGTACTTTCTATCCCTGCAGATTACAGTTGGAGTTGGTTTAATTTAGGCCTCAAAAAACATAGACAATGTAACAAAAATCCAAATTTAAAAAACAAGAGGCTCACAGTCGTCAAATGCAGGTAAGCCCCAGTTTTCAGGTTGCAAATCGAGTAGGGAGTTAACCACCTCATCTGCAGATGTGAAAAGGTGGGATTGTTTGGGCAAGGATGGGACAGCAACCACTTCCATTCCGGCCGCCTTTCCGGCAGTCACACCTGGCCTACCGTACAATAAATTAATTCTCATATAAAAATAAATTAAACAATTTATCGAGGCTTCCTATGTTTTTGCATTAAATACTCGATGATAACCACAGATGTATAATATTTACCTAAAAAGGAAAATGAATGGTTTAACTGAGACTTAGAGTGTAAGTTCATCAGAACCATACTAAGATCTAGCCTAGATTTTTTTAAAAAGATAAAAATAAAATAATTGGTGCTCACAATGAATCTTCAATGACGAGACAGTTAGAAGTATCCATCTTAAGCCTCTTTGCAGCTTCAATATATCTTCAACAATGAAAGCACAAGATCAGTTATAAACGTATGCCAAAAGCAACCAAAATGAAAAGATCATATTTTAATTTATTCATATTACATTGCAGGAGATGGCTTTCCAGAAGTGACTTCATCACCACCTACAATAACAGAGAATGTTTCGTTCCAACCTAAACATGAATACTGGAAAATCAGATACACAGTGAAACTGTGGAAAAAATGATATACAAATAAAGATAAAGATAAAGTTTCTGGATGAGATTTCACATTTAAGTACCCTTCTGAGCAGAAATCTTGGTCTCAATATTATTCCTTGAGGAATTTGAGGCCAAGGCCATAGGAATACCATGTCCTCTTAAATGGCTAATTAACCTATTAGCACCAGGTAGTGCTTTGATATTGCACCACCTACAAAAAAATAGTTTTATTAAATAACGAACCATATAACTAGGGATAAATTATAAAAACTAATGTAGTGTTGGGAATCTTTGAAAGAAAATCTGAAGGCCACGCATTGTGGAACCTTCATGAAAAGAATACTCGTGTGTTTCAAAAATATAAGTAAAGAAAATACTTTAATCAACCGAGTTTTGAGTCAAACATATATATCTAGACCCAATTTCTTTCCCTTCAATTTCTTGAGATTAAATAATTGAATTCCCATCTGATAGAGCAGATTGCATCATCACTTTCAACTCTAATCGCTCAAGAACATTTCATGAACCACACTGTAGACAAAACTAGTTGGGTACTTTTTATCATGACAAAAGTGAAAAGCCTCAGAATTCAAAAGATCCTGCTCTATGAACAAACTCAACTCATCAGTTTTACACGACTAAGAAGATGCAATCACCCATAGAAGTCATATGAGTTCAATGACTGATGAACTTAATTGGTATAAATAAACACAGAAACCAGATAATCTTACTTGTCAGCAAATAATGGAGCAGTTTCAGACAGAAGTTCATCAGCGCTTACGGGGAGTTCATAATGCTCAACAATAACAGCAGCAGCTTTATAGGGCGTTTTCCCTACAATTCTATGAGTTCCTTTTGCATCCCATTGCTTACCATATTTAACTAAGTAAACTTTCAGAACTTCGTTCATGATGCCATCTTCCACCCCCAACAAAAAAAAAAGAAATGAGAAGAAGAAGAAGAAAATGAAAGATCGAAGTTAAGGCACATACCAACACACGTCCTAAGCAAACATGAATTAGAAGTACAAAACATGTCAGATGTAATTTTCCGCCACTAGTATTTAATAAAAACATATTGTTTAACTAAGGTAAAAATGCATTTAACAACTGTATCACGTGAGAAAATAAAGAGAACAGGTGTGAGCATATCTTATTGAAAGAAGTTTCCCAATGGTGCAAAAAAAAATAGGACGAATTTAATTTTTTAACTACATCAACTAAGTGAACAAGTAGTTTTTGCAGGAGAGACTACAATTAAAAGCACATAAAAGGATCGAATGAATAACCCACCTGTGTTAAGAAGTGTGCCGTCCAAGTCAAGAATAACACAAGATACAAGCTTAGTGAGTGGTTTTGCCATTGACATTGTGAAGAACTAGCAAATGAAAGGAAGTTTATGATTCCATCAACCATGGGTCGGCAACTCTGACTAAACGTCAGAGAATTAGCCGGGCCAATTCAGCCTGATAATTGAACGAGATTAATTATGAAATGAATTCATGATGGTGAAATGAATATGGTTAAAGATAAGATAATAACATTTGAGCAGGAATATAATTTTACTACAGCAACAAATTCGGCAAGCTGGACTTGATATCTAAGAACCGTTATGTGGGTTTTTTTTTTTTGTCTGCTATAAATATCATCACATTTTCCAGCATGGCCAATAACCACAAAAACCAAAATAAGAACGCAGATGATAATTTAAAGGTTCAATCCTATCCCGAATCAGACGTAATCAGCCCGAGTGACCATCAACACACAAGGAAAAAGAAACAAAATAATGGCTTTAAAAACCATTTGAGCAAAATGAGCATTTGGAGGTTCACCTGCGCAGTTTAGTCGAAACTTTTAAACACAGTCTACTGCACAAAGATAAAGAATTGCTAAAGATCATATGGAGGTCAATAAAGAGAAACAGAGGTGAAAAACTTAATCAAACAAAAATGGGGAACTCGAGTTAAAATCCACTAAGCTGAAAATTCATTCAGACCAACAAATTACTAATTCATTCAGAACGAAATTTTGCTACACCACAAACACATACGAACACGCATAAACATGGGGCTTTTGCAAACTTATAAAGAAAGCGCTTGGTGACGACGCATTCAGGTAGCCATTTTGATAAAATCTAGCTCAAATCGAGGAAGAAAATGAATCCACCAAAATTAACAGAACAACCAAATCAAGCATTCACAATAAACTTGAAAACTTATAGGGCAAACTAACTAAAATTACAACAAAAACACACAAAACTTAGGGCTGAGAGGACTGGCCTTTCTCCGGCTTCTTAACGCCGGATTCCGGTGGGTTGGGTTGGCGGCAGCCGCAAGTTGAGAGGATGAGTGTTGAGCTGAATGCGGGTGCTGGTGCGGATATTTTTGTTTCTTTTTTCAAATTTTAAAATAAATAAATAATATTACCAAATTAATTAAATAGATCCAAAAATACAACATCTGTTATTTTTTTTTTTAACAATATTGTCAAATAAATAATATTTAATTCAATTAAGTCTCTTTCTAACTCTATAAATTGACAGATAAATTATGTAAAAACTCACAGACTCAATATTCTTTTTTAATTTTTTTTAGACAATTACAATATTGAATAATTGACAGATAAATTATGTAAAAACTCACAAACTCGATATTCTTTTTTAATTTTTTTTAGACAATTACAATATTTTCAATATGAATTGTGCATTTGATTTGTCAAAACAAGTTTCAGGAATTGAAAAACCATACTTGATGTTGCGGGGAATTCTAATAATTGCTCGGACATATGATGTTGAAACTACCAATTATATGGAAATCTTATATTTCATGACGAGGAAGTGTGTTTCGTTTTTTTTTTTTTTTATTCTTGTTCTTATGCAGATAATACAAATACAAATACTAATATTAAATATATTTTATGTTTTGCAATATATGTTCTTATATATAATAAGAATCCTAATAAATATTAATTTAATTTTTTTTGTTTTGAAATTCGTGGTCTTATATAGATAATACTAATACTAATATTAGTATTCAAAATTTATAATAACTTTAATATTTAAATTGCATCTAACTATTTGTTGTAGGGTGAACGTATATTTGTGGGGTTAATGTGAAAAAATGGGTAGACAAGGTGAAAGAAGGGCAAGTTTACGGCGTTAACAAATACGAAGTTGAATCGAATGTTGGCTCATTTCGACTCTCAATTGTTAAGACAAAATTATTATCCATAACACGACTATTTTGGTGAGGTGGAAAGGTGGTTTTCCATTTTATCGATTTGAATTTCAAAAAATTGATGTGTCAGTCATAGTTTTCACCAAGATCAATATGGTTTATTTGATAAATATTTTATTTCAATATTTTTTACATAACAATTTTATTTTGATAACTTTTTTTTCTTTAAACACGTTTTACATTTACTCTACCTATCTTTGTTTTATTTATTGTGTAGATGTATTGGTCTTGTGTTTAGAGTTAGTTTGGTCAAACGTATAGAAGTGGATGAAGTAAAAACTCATATGATTGTGTTCAGGCCAAGTAAGTAATTTTGTAAATAAGTATAATTTTGATTATGTGTATTTTATCTACAAGTCGCTTTATTAGTTACATTAAATTAGATAAATAATTAGGAGCAACACGTTTGACCCCACTATTTGGGGTGATTACATTTACTATCTTCTTAAAATTGAAGGTCAATATGGTGTTACGCGTTTACTACATCATACACCTCCCCACGGCTTGATACGACAAAGATTCATAATAATCACCGGTAGTAAACGCGTAGCAACATATTCACCTTCAGTTTTCATAAGATAATAAACGTAATCAACTCAAATATTGCAGTCAATCGTGTTCCTCTTAATCATTTATTTAATTTAATTATTATTTAATTTAATGTAATTAACAAAGTGAAATTGGAGAAAAAAAAAACTTACTTAAAATTATCATTTATTTTTTTTTTTTTTTGAAAAAAAAAATTGGAGACAAAATACACTTACTCAAAATTATATTTACAAAATTACTTACTCAAGGTCCATATGACTAAACACAACCATATGAGTTTTTATTTACGTTGACCGAACTAACTTCAATTACAAAACCAATAACATCTAAACAATAAATAAAACAAAAAATACATAGAGTAAATGTAAAACATGTTTAAAGAAAAAAAAAATATCAAAATAAAAATGTTATGTAAAAATAACAAATATTAAAATAAAATATTTACCAAATAAACCATATTGATTTTGGTGAAAAGCATGACGGATACCACCAATTCTTCGCCGTAATTCAAATCGATAAAATGGAAAATCACTTTTTCACCTTACCAAAATAGTCATGATGTGGATAATAATTTTGTATTTAGCAATTGAGAATCGAAATGAGCCAACATTCGATTCAACTTCATTTGTTAACGCCGTAGACTTGCCCTTCTTTAACCTTGTCTACCCATTTTTTCACATTAGCCCCACGAATAAGTCCGGTGATACATTCACCCTACAACAAATAGTTAGATGCAACATACGTTTAAAGCTATTATATTATATTTTGAATACTAATATTAATATTAGTATCATGAGTATTATCTTTATAAAATCACAAATTTCAATTCAAAAAATTAAATTAATATTAATATTATTATTATTAAGATTTAACAAAAGTTGATCAGGAAGAGTAAGCGCTAGAATGCTATCTTTCCACCAGTGGCCAATCCCTACGTCCGATGCCGTCCAAATGAACGGTTGCGATTTATTATTATCATCATTAAAGGGAACTGCTTCATCCATCTGCAGGAGTGCCGAATATTAGTATTATAGGAAATGCTACAGTTCCGTTATTGAATCATTCCGTTGGAATTCGTAACCGTTAAATTATCAAGTAACCGCCGTGGATAATTAATCTAACGGTTACAAATCCCGACGAAATAGTTCCGTTACGGGACCGTAGAATCTCCTTAGTATTATATATAAGAACAAAAATTGTAAAACATAAAATATACTAATATTAATATTAGTATTTGTACTTGTATTATCTAGATAAGAACACGAATTGCAAAACAAAAAACGAAATCCACCTCCTCGTCATGGAATATGATTTCCATATAGTTTGTAGTTTCAACATCATACGTGTGAGCAATTATTCAAAATATCCACAACATCAAACATGGTTTTTTCTGTCCAAAGTATTGTAATTGTCTAAAAGAAAAAAATAAAAAAGAATATGGAGCCTGTGAGTTTTTACATAAATTTATGTCAATTTATAGAGTTAGTAAGAGGCTTAATTGAATTAAATATTTATTTATTTTTTATTTGAAAATATTGTAACAAAAAAAGACAACGAATAGTGTATTTTATGGATCTATTTAATTAATTTGGTAATATTATTTATTTATGTTAAATTACAATGATTTGATATTTGATTTTTTTTTTGGATCACAAATTATGTAAAAGAATCAGAAAAAAAGTCTTATTTGGAAAAAAATATTTATATATATTGCACGGTCCTTAGGTACATTGGTAACATGTTTTTTTTTTTAGGGAGTTGAGGGAAAAATCTATTAAAAAAGGTTAAAAAAATAAAATAATATTTCAATATATAGAAATTATTAATGCACACGTTTTCTATATTTTTTTTTGGCAAATAATCCGTTTTTTTTAGAATAGGATGTGTATATTTATCTAAGCACATGTTTTATTTGTATATTGGTATGCATCACATATTTGGCAAAATAAATCTTATATACAAGTTGGTTATAGTGATGGCAGCGTTTCTCATTAGCTTTTTGGTTAGAATATCCTACAAATTTATTTAATTTTTGGTTAGAATATCCTACAAATTTATTTAATTTAATTGTTTGAGAAAACAAACCAACAAATTAGTTGCACCAAACTATAAATCAAAATTAACTTACTTTTACTTATTATATTTTATTCATACAAAAATTATAAACATAAAGAGTTTTCTTATCATTATCAAATAACAAATTGTATTTAAGTAACACACTTTTACTATTTTTAATTCATATTCTATATTTTATTTTACTTTTTAATTATAATAGGTATGAAGACTTAATTTAATTTAATAATCGATTCAACTTTTGTTGATACAAAAATAATTACATAAATATAATTGGTACTTGTTGCTTTCTAAGGATTTATATAACAAAATAAGTAAATTAATAACATCAAATATATTTTTACAAATCAACGAGCTACTTAACCAAACTTCTTATTTAAAACCGCTAACAGTATCAGCTGGTCAAACCATCTAATACTAACAGTTGGTCAAAACAGCTATTACAATCCGCTATCCGCTAAAGCTAACAGTTGATTACCAAACAAGGCCATTATATTTGACAAAAATCCATTTATTTGGTAAACAAACAATTTTTTTTTTAGGAAATCAGTAAAAAATATATGTGAATATTGCATGGTTATATTTAAGCACATGCTCTTCTAAACAATTGGCCATTCTTCCAAAAAAGACCAATATACGACAGCTAGCACAACACTTCTATCACGTTACACGATTGAATCGAACCTCATTCTCCACTTCAAATCCGAAACGCGCCAAAGAGAAGGAGAATTTTCGCGACCAATAATCAAAGCAAATACCCGATTTTGCCTAATTTGACGACCTTCTCCCCCACCAAGTCTTTTCGCTTCTTGCAGTTTTCGAACTTTCGAGCTTTTTTAACATTGCTCTTGTGTCTTTCAGCTTATTCTTGTAATCCTTCTTCCACGATTTGAACTTGAGCTTCAGCTTACGAAGCTCTTCTTGAGGATGCAATATGCTGCAACCTTGCACGAGCTCGATTTCATTAGTTTGATCAATATCCTCTTCGTTTATTAGTATTTCTTGCTGGCCATCGTGTGAAGTGATTATAAAATCAGGGCAATTTCTTTCAGAGGCTTGGTTCTTATTTGCTGCAGCTAAATGTTCCTGCATATATAATAAGTGAAATTAAATAAGATATAGCAGGAGCTTTTCGCAAATAGGCAAGACCTTTGGGGTAGTTTTTGCAATTATCCAGATAAAAAAACTGACTTGTATATTTGTCAACTCATCTTGCCATGCCTTCTCCAAAAACTTCATTCTCTCCTCATATTGCCGCCATTTTCCCTCCATTTCTTGAATTTGCATCCTCAAACCAACATTTTCCTCTTTCTTTCGCCTCACCTTTGCTTCCGCTCGTAAAATTCGTTTTTGAAGATCAATAAGTACACTGTATGGGACCTGAGATAATTCATGTTCATCCATCAATAGGTGATAAAAAAAAAAAAGGCAGAAATGCCTTTTTAGTCTTGTTGGTTTAACGTCATAGCAATTTTAGTTCCAAGATTGCAATTTTTCGCCTTTTAATCATGTAATTTAATATCTTGCTGCAATTTCAGTCCTCTTCAAAGAAATGAAGAAATTGCAACAAAATTTTAAGCTACAAGACTAAAATTGTAAGAAAATTTTAAATTATAAGACTTAAATTGTTAATCGAAAATCTAGGAATTTGGAAATTTTGTTGCAATTTCGGTCCTCAAATGACTAAAATGACTAAAATTGCAGCAAAATATTAAATCACAATACCAAAAAGCAAAATGTTGTAATTTTGGCACTAAAACTGCTATGGCGTTAAACCGACATAACTAAACATGCAATGTTGCCTAAAAAAGAAAAAAAGATTGTTAAAACAAAACAAGTGTAACAAAATAAACCTCAATGTCCTCGACTTGTCCTATATTCCCCCTTTTCCCAGTTAACTTCATTTGCTCAACTTTTGCTCGCTTTTCTTTAAGAGCTCGTCGCTCAAAGTACGTACGAATATGCCTCTGTATTAGGATGATAGCCTTAAGCTTTATAATCCAACAATTACGAACCGTTCGTGCATTTTCGCCACGAATAACTGCAAAAGGACTTGAAAAAATGATCGAGTTTACAACAGACAACGAACCAACACAACATGTTCTAACAGTTGATTAACTTATTTTACATAAGTCGAAATAGAAACAGAATTATAGTAAATTCCACATATTCGAAACCGATAAGCGTTTATGCTTACACGATTGCATTGCAATTACTCCTGTTCTGAGATCCTTGTAGTAACACCTGATTTTGTAACCACGGTAGCATTTTTGGATGTTCAATATTCCATTTTCTGGTGTATGTTCCGAATTTTTCTGCAGCAATTTTATCAATAAAATGATGAAAATTGTTTGATTATGCTTCAGATACACATGGAACTCTATATTTTCACTTGCAAATATAACATTTTCTTTTATAAGTATACATTTTTATGCATACTTTTATTATAAAAGATCATATTCTGGAGAAATACTATGATCCCGTTACGGAACCATTTCATGTAACCGTCGTGGATAGTTGATCGAACGGTTACAAACTCCAACGGAATGATTCCGTAACGGGAATATTGAATCATAAAAATATTGAATAACAGGATTAAAAATGTTGAAATATTGAAACTAAATTTGTTAAACCATTAAGATTAAAAATATATATTTGCCTCTTTTTAATACAGTCAAATTTTTCATGTGTTGAAATTTCGGCCTGATCACCAATTAAAAAATAAAAATTAATTTAATTCTAATGTTATACATCACTTGCCATAATTTTTTTTTTTTTATATAATTATATCAACAAAAATCTTCTCAGTCTATTATGATTAGTCAAAATTAAGAGTAAAATTTCGTGACTATGATAGCTTTTTTTTTCACTTACCTCCTGAAAACGATCAAAACTAGCAGGCCCATCAGCCATGGCCATGGGGGCCCGTTCGGAGCCCGCATCAATTTCTTCAAGGCTCCTCCTCCTATGTAAGTCGAGCTGCAGCGGCTTCCGAGCCCGGGGCAGACGGGCCCTCGAAACGGGCCTGGCGGGCAACGCCGGCGGAGCATCCTGTGGCTGATCGTCCGGCTGCCGCTGCAATTTTTCCAGCATCAGCTCCAGCGAGCTGCGAGTCGCCATTGAATTCGTCAACACCATTGAAGGGGAAAAAAAAAAGAGAGAGAGAAAAACGACAAATTGGGGAGCGTATCAAGCTTCACAACTCAGGCCATACTACGTCGTTTTGTGCCTGTAATCTGGCAACAGAACAGAACATATGGCCGTTTCTATTTTTTGGCTTTTACTTGAAATTGGGGAAATCTGAGTGTGGTGTTGGAACTGTATCGAACTGCATGTGTTTTAACTGTCGAGACAGCCTTTGAGTTTTCCTTTTTTTTTTTTTTTGGCTTTATCTGGATTTCAAAGGAATTGAGTTTTAGGTTCTGTAAATCTTGCTTTTAGAAGACCATGAAAATGCATAATAAATAAATAAATAAATAAATAAATAAATAAATAAATAAATAAATTTGTGTTTATTTAATTAATGAGCTGTCAAGTGTTAAACACTGTTAACTAATTTTAGTTGATAACAATTATGGGGATCTGAGGTTTATAGGTAACTACACCACAGTTTTTGATAATTGCTCTTTTTGAAGGATATAGTGGGAGTAATGATTTGATAGAGGACCCAGATATCTATACTTAGCTAAACCAAGATAATTATGATCAATTTTCATATAGTTTTAGTGTGAGTTTTTGTGAGGCTCTTAATGTTACACAATCATATTATTTTAATAATTTGTATTTTATATCGTCACGTGTTCTCGAATTCGTCAAAGCGTGTGAGATTCTTTTTTTGAAAAAATAAATAAATTATATTCTATTATCATGAACCAAAATCACGTTGTTCATATCTTCGTGTGTACGTACCTTGTGAAGATCATTGTTGAAGAATTATATATGTAAACCACGAATATATATGTAAGTATGATGATTTGTTAACATGTATCACTTTAAGGCTATGATAATTGTTTTTTTTTAATTATTTATAATAGTCTTATTTTAAAGTATAATACAAATAGAAGTATGATAATTATTAAAAAAATTATATAGCGAAGTATGATTTTACAATGTTTAGACAACTTAATACTAGAAATTATATGTTTAATAAAATGTCTTTTTTAATAGTACTTTATATTACATAGGATAATACGCATATTTTGCGTTAAAGTAAACACAAATTCTTGTGTGAGACAGTTTTACGCGAGTTAACGCGTTATATTTGTTTCACATGCACATTTTTGCTATGAAATATCGTACTTTTGTAAAATTAAGTTATTTACCCATTTAGATAATCTAATTTGTATTAATGCAATTCTTTTTTAAAAAAAAAAATTAGTCCAAATGCTAATGAATGAGATTGAAAAATTGATTTGAGGGGATTGGTATTTTGAGGGATAGATGGGTAATTGTCCCCTGAGATGGTTTCAAAGCTGTGGAGGTAATGATTTTTTTTTTTCATTAAAAAGGGTCATCATTAGGCATGTCACATGGGGATCATATTCATTGGGCCTTACAGAACTCAGGCTTTGTTCCCATGTGCAAAAAGGCCATAAATTTGAGAAGGCCCATATAGGGGGTGCTGAAGCTAAACCATTACCATAGCAAGTCTCTTCAAAAGATATATGCTAATTAAAAATTTTAAACTTTAAATATTAAAAAAAAAAAGTGTTTTTATTTAAAATTTTCAAATATTTTGAAAATAAATTGCATTATTATTTATATTTTAAAAAAAAAAAATATGACAAATTCGTCGTCTAACCGTTGGGTTGGCTAACAATAGAATTAGCAAATTTGCCAAGTTTAATGCTATTTTTTTTTTTCCATTTTCTTTGAAAAAGTAAATTCTATTCATAGAAACAAAGTACATTACAAAAAGAGGGTCAAATGAGAAGACACTTGGACACAAAATTCACAAAGAAATCTGTCAGAGCCTAACAATATAAATAAAGTCTGAAAACCAAAAATAGGAAAACTATTGAGGACCACCACGACCAAGACTACTATGAAAACCGGAGACAAAAGAGAAGGCTTATAGTTATAGATATATGGATCACACGAAAGCGGCCTTCAAATTGAGGGAATAAAGTCGAATATTGATCTAAAATTCATCCAGAAAAAGCTTGAATTCAACAACAAATCGATTTTCATTGATTTCAAGAAAAGTCCCGTAAGAAAGATGGTGAAGAAAAGTCCGCTCAAAAAACTTCAGACGACATCCATAAAAACCCTCCAACAAAGAAGCCTCCACGACAGATTAAAAAGAACATCACTTCGAAAGATGAAGATTCTAATTTGTGTTGAAAACGACGAAATTGACATTGAGGAAATCAAGGAGATGGAGCTTGACAACGAATTTTTTGAAAGCGACCACCCGATGGAGGAAAGAAATAAAAGAAACAGCCAACTAAATGAAAGTGCATAGGAGAAAATAAGAAGTGTCACAACTAATTACAATAAAAACAATATATGTTTTGTATATATTTTGTACACATTCCTATCCAGCCTCACAGTAATTATAGAAATCAACCAACTAATTACTCTCATGCCATATAATGCTAATTTTATCGTGTTCATGTTATTTATTTATTTATTTATTTTGACAAAATTTTCAAATAACATACAAAATAGATCACTTTTATTTATACGTATTGTTAGCTTGTTTACGCCATTTTTGTGCTTTTATGTCCATCAGAAACGATGCACGATCCCTCCCAATCACCAATGTCTGATTTCAATTTCATGAAAAAATTGTATAAGAGTTGTTGTTTTCGGAATCGACTATGTAAAATGTCAGCATCACGGTATATATATATAGTACATATTCCTATCCATATAAACATATCAAAACAATACATGTGTTTGTAAATATATTGTACGTATTCCTATCCAGCAGTATATCTTTTGTGTATATATTTTACATATTTACGTGCAGCTAAAGAGATGGTGTTTACTGAGAGAAGATATTTGATTTAATTTGTTATAAATATTTCAATTACTGGCGGATGAGAGAGGGAGAATATACCATTGTTAAGCCACAATTTAATTAGATGATAAATTCCTAATTATATTGCACAGTTTCGTAAAGATGCAAATACTTTTACAACAATGTAAATATTCTAACATTTATTTTACGGATCAGCACCATTTACCAATAAAATCTTTATTTATTTGCATATTTATGATCTTTTATATTTAATTGCAAAGATACTAATTATTTTTGTTTGTGAACGGTTGATTTATGGTTTATTTTTGTCGCTATTTTCAAAATTTCATTATTATTTTTGTTAATTTTTGACACATTTTAGCTAAAGATACAAAAAAATATCTATTAATAATGGCTAGAAAATAAACACACAGCACATATTATAATAATTAGTAGTTAATCATGTGCATATGCACATATTCAAATAAAGTATAACTATGTTTATGAATATTATATTTATAATCATAAAATATATAACATATATAATACATTTCATAAATTTGATCATTAGTTAAAATGAACAATATAATTATACTATTATACTTAAATATGAGTCGCACAAAAAATGCAAGGAATAACATAATTATTGTAAACTTAAGAGATATTGACCAATTAATTAGTTGAAGAAATAATTAAATTGTTAACATCATATATATTGTTTTTACAATTTTAACGGGTTTAATTTATAACTAGTACAACGTCCGTGTATTACACAGATGCTTGCTAATTTTTTTCTTAAAATCTAAATTTAATGAGAAAAAGTAGTTGAAAATAAATACATTTTATAAAAATGTATATATTATTATATATTTAGCATGACACTTCTTATTTGTGCGACTTACCTGTGTTATATTATAATAATTTTTTTTACAACATATAACTACATTAAACATAAATATATCAATTGAAAAATAATTTTCTTTTTCTAATTAATTAATAAATATTATTATTTTTTATAATTATAAAGATAAATATAATTTATTTATTTATACATACGATATGAATGTCAAATCGAAGAACATCAAAAGATGATTAATTTGATATATTATATATGTAAAACTGATAAGAAATACAAAATTTATCAACTTTTAAAATACATTTACAATTCAATAGCTAATTGAAGAAAAACAAATCAAAAGTAGGGATATATTAATCACTTAGTGTTTCACTATGCAAAATTACAAAGAAATAAAGGGTTATATTAGTATAAGTGATATTAAAATACCTAAGTTAGCTAAATAATATTTATGGAATCCGAACCTAGATTATTAATTATTAATATATCAATATTATTTGTCTAAACCTAATTGCGAAACATGATTCTTCGCCAAGTAGTATTCCGAAGCACCAGAAGCAGCCACGTAGGCTCAACATTCGGGAACTATATATAGGGGATGCCATTAAATCAATTAGCTATTTAAAAATTTCAATAAGATAAAACTAAAATTAGATATTAAATAAATAACTTGAAGGGATAATTTGTCCATAATAAATAAGTTAAAAAATCATTATATTTAATTAATATAGAATGTAATGATCACTTTCTATAAATGAATGAAAAAAGAAGGAAAAAAATAACATTAAATTATATAGGGTTAATTGCTAAGTAAACCTTAACCTTTTTGTGTTTGATAATTTTATCTTAATCTTTGGGTAATTGCAATATAATCTCGACCTCAATTTACTTATTGCGAGTCGAACCTAAAACCGATTGAACCTTAAAAAAACTGGTCAATTTGAAGGCGGTTCGAACAGATCGGAGCTCATATTTACCGGTTCACTCCAGATCTAGGACGAGACTCATCACCGGTAGCTTACATTGACGTGAATTTTTTGGCTTTGTGTGTGGATACATATTCGCAAAATATTTTTACTACCCGCAAGCGTACGGAGTAGCTGCAGAAAGCGGCGAGCAAGGTCGTATTCCACATAGACTGTTGTTAAACTAATTAAGTACCAAAATATCGACGATTAAATATTATCTAGACTAATGCAAATTCGATTGGGGTTTTTATTCTAAACTAATGAATGAATGCAAAAATAAATTCTAACACTAATGAAGGTTTGTTCTAAATAAATCAAGAATGAGAAAATAGATTCTAGGCTATGCTTTTCTCGTGATTATTCTAACGAAGTTTTCATATTCATTCAAACCTTATTTAATTCTACCAATCGTAGGGATAATCGCTAAAGTAATTTACACCTTTCTCTCGAACAAGTTAAATCGTAGATATTAATTGCTATCTATCTCCTCTCGGTCTCAAGATGAACAACTAACTCCCATAAGCTCCTAAGATTCTAGTTCCCTCACAAGATTCTATCAACCTCTCGGTCTGTTTAGTCTCTTACGTTATGAATTTCTCAATTCTAGCAATTAACTATCTCCTCTCGGTCTCAAGTCAATCACAAATATGCATAAATACGGGCCCTATATTCACACAATTCATATAATCACAAGAAACTGATAAACGAAAGATAGACCGAAATGAACAAACAAAATTACTTCATAAAATAAACCGAGTACTCGCAAATCCTAGAATCTCAAAGAGATTTAGCTACTAAACATATTTTCAATACTCAAAATAAATAAATCCATGAGTTCAATGAAGAAGAAAAAGAGAAAATAAAGAAGAACTATTGTTGTCGTTAGTTCCCGGATCTTCAATCTTGACTTCCTTGAATCCCTCGTGTGTTTCGTGCTTTCTCCAGGCCTCCAATGGTGTCAAAAGTCCTAAAACCGTGTTCTTTTTGTTCCTTATATACTGTAGGGCAAATATGGGTGGAAAAAGGGATCAAATCACGCAGGTTTCCTATTTTCCGCTGGTTTAACTGCGCGTCACACGACTCGTGTCACAAGCCACACGAGTCGTGTGACTTGTCTTCAATTTTCGGCAAAGTTTCAGGTTCACACGAGCACCCCACACGAGACGCCACACGAGTCGTGTGAGCCCACACGACTCGTGTCATGGGCCACACGATTCGTGTGGTAAAGCCGCACTAAAATAACACAAGAGGTCGATTTTTCTCACCCCACACGACTCGTGTCACTATCCACACGAGTCGTGTGGCCTGTCTGCACCCTTTTTTCATCGTTTTTCGTCTCGATTCCATCTTTAACGCTTTTTTCGGGCATATTTCCTGCAAAACCAACGACAAATATACCTCCATCATAGATTAATAAATCAAACAAAATGGTGCATAATCCCACGATAAACACAGTTAAACATCACAATGTATCACTCATAATGCATTTTTGAAAATATGATGAATGTCAATACACATTAAATACGTGAAAATTGTCAACTTGCTACGTGGATGACATAAAAGCTCGTGTCAATGGAAGACTTGAACACAAAATCGATCCACAAATCCCTAAAATCAATCACTCTGCACCCAAATTTGTAATAAGTAAAATGATGTCGAGATTATATTGCAATTATCCAAAGATTGGGATAATATTGTCAAACGCAAAAATGTTAAGATTTATTTAGCAATTACCCCAATTATATATTATATATATAGATTTTTCTCTATATAAAATATAAAATGCGAAATTAAGCCATAACCCTAATTGTCAGGGAGAAAAAGATTCTGTGTCGTTTCGATTGCTCCTCGCCTGCGTTTCTTTGTTCCTCTGTCCCTCGCCCCTTTGCTGTCCCTGGGCGGTTTCATCTTTACTCTCATCTCATACGACTAAGGTTTTAGCCTCTGGTTAGGGAGTGTTGAATCTCAATAACTTCCGATTAGGATTTCGCGTGTCTTCTTACTGGTCCGCCATCGATTCGTAAACTTTAAAGTTCTTGATATTGTCGTGATAATCTTGGTTAATTTTTACTGAATTGTTGTTATTTTTCTGCTCAGGGAGTTCTTGATATTCCAGTCTTGAAATTCCAGTGCTTTCAGTGTGCATAGAAGGACCGACACTCGATGGAGGACTGGGGTACGTTCATCTCATCTATATTTTTCGGCCCATATAGATTGTTTGGGCAGTTTGTGGGGTTTTTAGTATGATCTATTTGACGTTTTTTCAGATTTATTTTATTGTTTTTTGTTTCACAAGACAGCTTTGTTTTTGGGCTGATTTATTAAGTTTTACAGATGCCTATACAATGTCTAGGTTTGTATGTTGAATTGAACGAGTTATATGTTTATTGGAATTCAAGTTCATTTTCTATGAGGCATTCTCTGTCAGGATGCTTAGACTGATTTTTTTGTCTAGATTTTCCTTCATCATAGTTCCTTCTGTTATAACCTATTGCAGTTGATATCCGGCTGGACATAATAACGGCATCAACATGTGCCCTCAAATAGTTATAAAGGATACTGTTGTTTGCTAATAGGGAGTGCATGATATAAGTTGTGTGATTTTTATACAAAAGCATACTTTTATCAATTCCTTTTATTTGCCTTCTCCTCATTGATAACAGTCGATTAAGGTTAAGATTTTCTCTTACTTTCACTAGTAATCTAGTTTCTTGATTGTTAAAACTGTGGTGTTTCAGAAGATGAGCCTATTCCTGATCTTCTCAATAAAAAAGAGACTTTGAAGGCCAATTGGGACGATGAAGATTTGGACGATGTCAAGGAATCATGGGAAGACGAAGATGAGCCTGCTACGGTATTGGTCTAGTTTTGCTTGAGTAATATTAAATTGAGAGTATGGATGAAACTAACACAATATAGAATCTTCAATGTGACAATTTATAACTCGATCAGTGTGAGTTATTCCCTTTCCCTCTGCTATTGCAGTACCTTTTGTCTCGAAGAGTATATTTATATGCATATCTCGAATGGCTGTTCACTGTTTCTTAATGTGTAGAATCGTTTTGATAGTTACAGCGTCTGTGAGATTTCTTATATGATTGTTGAGTGTTGAATGGTTTCTTGGTTGCCTGAAACTACACAATGCTCAGAGGATTGTTTTTCCAGATGGATCCATTTACTTTTGGCTTCTCTCTTTTTTTTTTTTTTTCGTTAGTATATGCAAGTTGATAAGCTCTATGGACCAGTGTCGAGTTTATTATTTTGGTTTGCATTTGATATTAGTCTTCTCTTTAGTCACCTCTAATTGTGCTTCCAGGCGCCAAAGGTGGAGTCAGCGCCATCTGAAAAGGCCCCTAAAAAGTCTGCTGCTGCTAAATCAGGTGAAAAGAAAGCGAAAGCTGCTGAGGCTTCAAAAGATGCTCTGAAAGAGGAGCCATTAGATCCTGTACAAGAAAAGCTCCGCCAACAGAGGTGGGCTTATGGTGCAAATGAGCATTGAAATATACTTTTTAGCTATTTAGCCTGTTTACAATCTCACCTGTTGTGCTATGGAAAGTTAAAGATAGTAGGGGCACTTTGGTGTGTGAACTAGCAATGTGACTCAAAGATGGCATTCTTCTTCCTTTTGTGCTAGGAATTGAAGCATTTGCATTTTTTCAGGTGTACTGAAATTTCAAAAAAGACCCTATATGAGAATAAAACCAAATTTATGCGACGAGCTAAATTGTTTTCAATAAAATAAATTACATCCCACTACAATGTTTATGAACTAGTAGTAGTTATGAATGCAAGATTGGCAACTCTGAAATTTCACTTATAGTTACTCTTTTTCTTTAGGATATGCACATTTTTTGTTTCTATTGGTCACTCAGGGCAACCGTCCACTTATTAATCTTTTTCAAAATGTTTATGATTTGACTTGAAACGGGCTTTTTTGCTATTTTTGTACAGACTTGTTGAGGAGGCTGATTATAAAGCGACTACCGAGTTATTTTCCAAGAAGGGTGATGATAAGACACTGGAAAATTTTATTCCAAAAACCGAAAGCGATTTTGCAGAATATGCGGAACTTATTTCCCATAAAATTCGTCCATACGAGGTTTAGTGATAGTTCATATATACTATTTTTTTGTGTGTTGATGCAAATATGACCTCGTTATTTTCCTTGTACCACAGAAAAGCTATCACTATATTGGATTACTGAAGGCTGTGATGAGACTGTCGATGACTTCTTTGAAAGGAGCAGATGCTAAAGAAATTTCATCCTCCATTACTGCAATCGCAAATGAAAAGATAAAAGCTGAAAAGGAAGCTAATGCTGGCAAAAAGAAGACAGGTTCGTTAATTTGTTAGTTTGTTTATTACTTTATACCGAGTTAGATTGAGTACCGGTAAAGTTTCCTGATGAGTTTGTGTTTGTTTGCAGGTGGGAAGAAAAAACAGTTGCATGTGGGAAAACCGGATGATGATGCGGTTCTTGATAATACATACGATGATTTAGATGACTATGATTTCATGTGAATTTTTGCTGAGAATTTTGCTGGAAGGTTATCTCTCTCTTTTTTAAGATCATTTTAAAGTTGTTCAGATTTTGTTGTGTTTGTGCTGATTGGTTATGGTTTTAATTCTTGTATTGAGCTTATTGTTACCTATGTTCTTCTATCTTGATTATGAATTTATTATAGAAGTATTTAAATCTTTACCAGCCTATTTTTTCCTCACTGGCTTTTTATGTTCTCTAAACACTACATGATGTTAAGAGTATTTCATTTTAAAATTTGACTTTTACATTGAAGTATTATTTATTTTCTTATAAAATAAATGAAGCTAAACAAATATTAGCTATTTATGAACGAATGTCAGATTATGATATCCCAAATAAAAAGAATGTATAGTACTTAGCAGATGGTGTTAAAGTGAAAAAATAGTATATTGATTATTATTATTATTATTTTTTGGTACAAATATATTGATTATTATTAGTTTACTACTGCTAACAAAAATTACGCATATTGTGATGATGTTTTCAACATTAGATATACGAAAATTGAAAATGTAATTAGACTGTTGTGTTGACCATTTCTTATATTATAAATTATTAGTTCCAAAGTATATAACATATATATTTACAGCATTAGTTGAAAACACTTAAAAAATTTCAATGAGTTAATCTTAACTATATATTTATTTTCATCTCAAACTGTCCACTTGTCATCCCCCAAATTCTCATGCTAAATTCTAACAAGCTCAAAACACTTTCATCGCCGGCCGCTTGCTCTCCCTCTCCTCCGCCCTCGACCGCTATATATTTCCCCTTGGCCGGCCGCTTGCTCTCCCCTCCGAACACCACCGCTAACCAAATCCCCGTCTTAGGCTACCGACCGGGCGATTCCGTTCCTCTCGGATTTCCACTGTCTGTAGGGCCCCGGGCCCCACTAGTCCGACTCGTTTTACGATTACGTCGCTTGAATTCCCCCGGCGAGTCCTTGCCCAAGAACATGATGGATGCTTCTGCTAGATATTATGACGCTTGAATAAAATGTATGATGTTTTTATTTTGATTTGCGAAGTTAATTCATTCTGCATTTTTAATTATATTTAGCACAATTTTTTTGTCAAGTTGTTATGAATTGTGATCAGTTTTAAATGACTATATTATATGAGCTTTAATTAATTGTTTATGGATTTTAAAAATTGTTATTTTTTTTTTTTTTCTGGTCGACTAGTGTCAACGTCATCAATGCATGTAAATTTAAAATTTGATGTTGATGTGATGATGATATCGATAACTTTTGCGTCTCTTTCGAATAATATACGTTTTGGTTTTGCTTTTTCTTTTTAATAGGGATCTTTCGGTTTTGGGATTCATAGGGGAACCGACTAATCAGGAATCGAGTCGGGTAGGACCACAAGGCCGGCAAAGCTCTCCCTCAAGAGTTTTAACACTACTGCATTCCTAGAACTCGAACTCGAGATTACTGATTAAGTTAGAAGAGACCCAAATCATCTCATCCAAATTTTGGTTTTGCTTTTAAATTGGTGTAGTTGTGAGGTACAACTAAAAAACTTTTGATTACATAAATGACAGTAAAGTGAGATTTTTTAGAATGATTGTACCACCACTCGAGTTCCAAGGCTGCATTGCGTGTTGTACGTTTACGTTGATGATGCGTGCCACAATAATTAAGACAATATTTATAAGGAGCATTTGTTTTCATGAATAATTAATTAAAACAATATTATAAGTTTTTGTTTTTATTTTGCAATCACATTGGGTACATGTAAAATTTTGTGAAGATTATGGGTTGAGTGGCCAAATATAATATGCACAAAGTAAACACGATTCACGTTTCGGAGTAAACGAACGTGTGTAGGAGTGTTGATATAACAATTCAGATTTCAGAATGAACAATAATGTCCACGACAATACGTATGAGTTTGCCTTTAATTATATTGGAAATACATGTAAATGTTGATTTAATTCAATTTTCAGTACATTTTTATCAAATTGATGAAAGAATGATTGGTCTAGTTAAACCAAATTGAAGCTTTAAAGATAAAAGTTTTATTTTAATTAGTATCTCACATATATTTATTTAGGGGTTTTTTTCAATACAAGACCTGAAAGATAGGTAAACTATCAATTCGGGGCCTGAATTTTTTTTTTCTCAATTCAGGACCTGAATGTTATAAAACTATCAAATTAAGTCCTACAATTAACAAGCACTCATAAAACTATTAAATTGAGAGTTAGTTTTAAAACACCAAATATGTTTTTTTTTTAATATTATGCAAATGTTTACTTATTATTTTATGTGAGTAAGCAACAATTTTTTATTTTTCTTCAAATTTGGTGTTTTAAAACTTAAAATTAACTCTCAATTTAATGGTTTTATGAGTGTTTGTTAATTGTAGGACTTAATTTGATAGTTTTATAACATTCAGGTCCCGAATTGAGAAACAAAATCTTTCAGACCCCGAATTGATAGTTTACCTATCTTTCAGGTCTTGTATTGAAAAAATCCCTTTTTTTGTATATTCATTGTTCAAGATGATGGAGTAAAGTAATGAGATGAAATTTTACAAAATAACATTTTAGATCTGAATTTTATTTTTTGCATGTTTTTTATACACATCTTAATTACCTTTCTAACAAACAAGGCAGAAGCACTTTTTACTAGTGGCTCTAATCATTAAACTAATCTTTATGTGTATTTTATTAAAAATATATATATTTAAAATATAATATAAATAAAAATACAAAATTTAGAATTTTATAAATCTAATTAAAACATACAAAGGACCCATCTATCTTGACTTGAAAAAAGAAAGGAAAATAACAAACTAGGGAAAAAGACCCTTACACATAAACAAAATTTTTAAGGAAATCACCGGATGGTTTTCTTATGCAACAATCAATCACTTAATATATTGATACTTGTTCAAAATGTATTTATTGAAAACACGTGTCAGTGCAATATTTGCGAAGAACTATGGATGACTCCATAAGCCGAGCTATCTGATGACTTCATAGCAAAATTGTACACATAAATACATATAGAGATGAGCACAACTTAGCGAAACCGAGAAATCAAGTCAAATTGTACAATTCGATGTGATTAAGTTTGAATTTTATGATTAATGTAAAAATTGTTCGGTTTCGTACAGTTTTTGCACCGAACTGTACCAAAATATATATAAACGTGACAAAAAAACCGAGACAAAACCAGAAACATGAGTCGAATAGGTAGAGTTCAGTTTGGTTATTTCGGTGTAAAGATTTTTTGTTAATTTTTTCGTTCGTTGCAGTGCGGCTCATTTATTTGTTTGTTTAATTGTGCTAAATTTGTGTTATGCGGATTCCAATAGTTCATGAATTGCTATGTTTCATTCCCTTTTGGCCTAATAAATCGTATGTCTCACTAAAACATTTCTACAAGTTGGTGTAGAATGGTAGAAATACTCTTAGATATCTTCTACTATGTATGTATTATTTATTCGCTTTACCTTTCTTATTCAACTGATTATAATTTTACACAATATTTTACGCATATCCAATAATTATGCTATAATTATCATTGACAAACTAATTATAATGTCAAATTATACTACAATTAACATTAACTAACATTAATTTCTTAACAAATAGGAAATTCATTCAACAATTGATGAATTGAAAATGTTTGAGAATGAGGTTCAAATTCAAGTTTGTGTTCTTAAAAAATCGACACGTACACGTATGTGTACCTTCATTTACCTTTTTTTTTTTTTTTTTTT